TAGAGCTGAAACAAGATCATATTTACATCTGGTGTTCAATCTCGCATTCTTAATTGATTTCATACTCTGATTTGTTTTATACTTGATTCTTTGATTCATCACAACTCCCATTATGAAACATTTCCATAATTGCCATATGACAATCCATTCTTAATAGAATCCTTTCTATTCAGAATTATATCAATATGGTCCATCCATTACTATACTTCCAATTGTTCACAAGCAACCAATCTTCGATAAACCTTAGATTATCCTTTGATAGTTGTTTAACAATTTTAGTCATATCTGGTTCTAGGTCCTTTTTTCCCTCTTAATGCGCTAGGCATTTGGAAAAATCAGAACAAGCGAATATTATAGCATATGCAATCGATCCTATACCCGAAGCATATGGGATACGAATCATAATGTCTTACATAAAGACATGATACTTGACCAGTCTTTTGCTAAAATATCCCCATGTATCGAATCTTCCTATGTTGAATCACTTCAACATGATATTCATATAAGTCCATGACTAAGTTTGATTAAAATTTCAATCTAAGCTTTTAGATTCGAAATGAAGTATTAATGCCCTCTCCCTTAAGCCTTACTATAGTGAAACAATTTCCAAATTCTGCAACTTTGCAAACTTAGAACTTTGTTTCCTATAAGTAGCATTGCTTACTTGCAACACTTAAACATAATAATCACGCTCCCACTAGTATAACGATTATGTTCTTACCAACATAACAATTATGCTCCCACTAGCTTTGACATGTATCCAGAAATCAACTGGACTTCTAGAAATCAATACCTATTGACTTTCTTACCAAAGCTCACATTTCTGATACGTGGTGCTTTGATAAGTCTCTATCTAGACTTCTCAAGCTCATACACCTTTCATTAAACAGCTTATGTGAGTGTCTAAACCTTTTCAGAACTTATAGCAATAAGTCCCGAATGTTCAAACTAATTTCCATTTCTCACAATTCGAACTATGAAGATGGATGCCATAATCATACTCGAATTTGAGAATATAATGACCCAATTTTCAAAGTAAAATTTTCATTTTAGAATAAGTAAACATATTCCCATACATTAAGAAATCCCGTTATAATTGTTTTCAAAACATAAGTCAAATACAACTTTTATTCCAAACATCAGAGTGTCCCATAAAATGTCAGTGAGAGAGTGCACGCCGCGCCATCACGCCTTGCCCTTACCCTTGGGATCTGAAGTACCTGAAACCATAAACAAACCTGTAAGCACGAAGCTTAGTGAGTTCCCCAGAGCATACCCCACACAAAATACATAACACATTAGCTATAAAAGCTTCCTCTACCACATAACACATGCCAATTAGCTATAAAGCTACCTTTACCACATAATACATATCAATTAGATATAAAGCTACCTCTACCACATAATACATATCAATTAGCTATAAAGCTATCTCTACCACTAGCCACAAGGGCTATCTCTACCATTAGCCCTGAAGGCTATCTCTACCACTAGCCCTGAAGGCTATCTCTACCATTAGCCCTGAAGGCTATCTCTACCACTAACAGTAAAAGGTATCTCTACCACATATCAATGCATAACAATGCCACACACCTCTACACAGCAAGTATACCAACTATCATAAAATGGGCCGGCCTTGGTGCCTTAGACCCATTGGTATGGTGAGAAGACTCATCTCGAATGTAGAAGCTTCCTGAAGAAATCCTTAGCTGCTGCCCTGCCCACTTCCTGCACCATCAATACCGATCAATATACCCAATTAGCGACTGGGTCCCATACCATAATCATTAATCCATGCATGGGGGTAAAATGACCATTTTACCCCTGGCCCAGTATGATCCAAAACTAAGGCCCAAATCTCAAAACAAAACCCAACACTAGGTAGGCTTTCCGAGCCCACTAGTGGTCCACTAATGGCCCAATTTTCTCAATTGGGACCAAACCCTCTAATGGGCCTTACCCTAAGCCCAAACATATTCCTGACTCAAAACATCTTACTCCTGATGGCCCACTAAGGCCCAAAGACCCAAAGTCCACTGCTTGGCCCAACCCAAAGCCCAAAACGTCACAAGCCCATAACTGATGAGTACGCAGGGCGTACCCTATGTACGCTAAGCGTACTGGCTAAAGGTGGTGTACGTTGTGCGTACCTGCATGTACGCCCAACGTACTCCTCTGTTAAGCAACTTTTTCCATTAAGTGCTTAATACTTGGGATTTCAACATCAAACTTCAGATCTAAGTCCATTAAGACGTCTTAAGGCATAAAGTTGGCAACTTTATGCCTTTGCATTCTCCATATGCTCCCAACAACCCATTAAGACCTTTCCAAGGGTCTTGATCCATGCATGAGGTTAGAATACTCATCAAGATTACATTTTTATGAAGTAAATGGACCAAAGGACCTCAGATCTACTCTTTTTAAGCTCTGGAGTTGCTCAGCTCCCAAGAGATAGTCCATAAGCTCATAAGAAACACCAAACAAGCCCTAATCTAGATCTCAAGCTATAAGATAACAAGGTAGGAACTTTATACCTTCTGAGACTTGTAAATGAGCTGGAGAACCTGGATCCAAAAGCTCTTCCCTGATCAGTGAGACTCCAAGATGATCACTCCTCTTCAAGAACACTAAGATGCACTCCAAGATGGCCTTACAAGCACACACTCTCACAATTAGGGTTAGGGTTTCGAAGAGGGTTGAAGGATGAGAAGGAGGCTGATCCTGGAGGGTGTAATTTTCTTTATATAGTGTCACACCCTAAAAATTTAGGGTTTACTGACTCTGGGCGTACGCTGGGCGTACGTCTCCAATCACCCGCGACCACTTACTACACCTACGTTGGGCGTACTCTTGTGCCAGCCACCTTGCATGCATGGGATCTTCTTGTCACCAATTTCCATTAGGGGCTAGAATTGACAATAGCTTCAAAGTGTCATAACTCATTCATTCTAAGTCCGTTTTCGACGAACTTTATATCCACAGAAAGGTGGCGGGAAGCCCTACACTCCCATCGACACCTCCAAGTCTAAAACCTTTCGGATAAAACCCGAGACCCATAAAAGACCGAATCGCCCCTACCCTTTGGTCCTCGAGACCCAACCAAGTACTTTCAAACAGGGTGTTACAGAGAACTCAATTATCACAACTGCTTACTTTAGTCCTTTAAAATCTACTAGTGAAAGCGTTTCCTCACAATCATTTTCATGAAGTAGTGAGAAACCTCTTACCACTTAGATTTTATAGTGTATGTGTTCTTATCCATGTTAATTTGTCATTTCCAACCATTATCATAAGACAAGGTTTATGACAAATTCAAACTCATATGGACTGAACTTGCTTAATCTTAATTTCTTGCCATCCGGTAGCACAAGGGCCTACCAGTGCTTCCAAGTTATTGAGCAGCTCACCCATACAAATCAATGTACTTTCAGTGATCAAGGGACTTTTCCTTATGCAATCAAATGAGAACTCATAGAACTCACATGCATAGTCAACTTAACTGGAACGGGCACAAAAACAAGAATATGTCAACACGATAGGTTATCAACCTCAAGTCGTGTGCTAGTGATTACTAATAGGTTTATTCTTGATTAGCTCTCGAAACTAATCAAGACCATTAAGACTCCCACTGACCTCTTGACATATAGGATTCTCTGTCAAGGAGCATTCATTGACAAACAAATTTTCAAGAGTTAGCGTGGGTTCTTATCAAGAAACACTTCATATAATTGGTCTTAGTTGATCTTTGTTTTATCCAAAACATCACAACTAGCAATTTCAAATGTGCAAGAGTAAGAAACATTTCTACTCCACATTTCATGAGGTGTTATAAACCTACTTAGAACATGTTACTCAAGGTACAACTTGGAGTAACAAGAGTATGACTCTAAAACTTGATTGTTGTATCCTTTAGATAGATCCCTACAAGGTAAATTTATGTTTTAGAACACTACATAATATACCTCAATATCTAAACAAATTCGTGATTGTAATTTGTTTTAATCAGCATTCAAGTATGTTTTTTTTAATTGTGATTCTTGTAATACATTTATTTTAATTTCGTTTGTTTCGATTATATATTTCATTGTTGATTGTATGCTTCTATCATATTACTATCACTGAATCTATAAATTATCAGACCAATAATCATAACAATATTAATGAAATTGTTACTAGAAGCAAACAAATGTTGTAGTACAAATTTATCCTACCACACATACCATAGTGACAAAGAAAAACTAAAAATGATTGGTCACATATGGGAAATAATTCTCACATTAGTTCTTTCAAGATTGTGATAGTAAAGAAGAGGTTGACAAAGTTTTTTTTTTTTTTTTTCGGGAACTCGATTTAATGAATTCATTTTTAGCTTGTAGTACAAATTTATCCTACCACACATACTATAGCGACCAAGAAAAACTAAAAATGATTGGTCACATCTCTCTTGACGTGGGAAATAATTCCCAGATTGGTTCTTTCAAGATTATGATAGTAAAGAGGAGGTTGACAAAGAGTTTTTTTTTCGTGAACTCGATATAATTAACTCATTTTTAGTTGTTCGTGGTTGATAATCTGTATGCGTAAATTGTACGAAGTCAGTCCCGAACATTCCATCCCTTCTTTGTGGTGGTTTCAAAATGTGTTTATGTCACATCTCACCAACCTCTTTTCAACTCCAGAACGTACATTAATACTCAAGTAACGATGTTTTAGTGTAAATGGTCATTTTATGAATATGAGAAAAGCTAGATCATTTTTGTTACTCTTTTTTCGTGATGGTAAGTTTTGTTAATGTTGTGTTATTATTTTTTTGGATACAACGTTTCATCCTAATCATGAAACATAATTATTTCAAACCTACAAATGGGAACACTACGGAAAATAAAATAAAATCATTGGGCTCCTAGTGTTGGTACAAGTTGTAATGCCACAGAAACAACGGGAAACAATATGAATTCTTTAAAGATTCAATGAATGTATATGCAACATGCATTTAACATCTTCTGCGATGGTTTAGGGGGAGATGCAGGCAATGTATTTGTAGACTAAACCTCACTTTTACATACATGCACCCCCATATATATGTACATATATATAGCCCAGAAAACCTGTTACACAAATAAGTATATGCTCTTCAACAAATTCACAATTTAGGTTACACGCAATAAAATCTTGAAAAAAAATCAATCAAGTACTACACTTTTTTGATAATTTCTTTGTGCTTTTCCGTGGAATATCAGACTCTCTTGGTGGGTTATTCCCAGAAGTTACAAAAATGCCTACTTTGGTTAATTACTGTGGTAAGTTCCCCTAAATTTCTTGTTCTTAAAATTTTCCAATTGGGGGTTTCTTGATTTCTAGGTCAAAGATTGAAATTTTTAGTTAGATCTTGATGGTTTTTTTTTAATTGGGATGGTTTTCATTTCTGGGTATTTCGTAAATTTCTGAATTATGTGTTTTTTCATCCATTTTTGTTTATGTTGGTTAAAATTGAATGGGTGAATTGAGAATTGACATGATGAACCTAAATATTTTTGAACTTTGAAGCAGTTTTTAGGGTTTATCGTAGTAGAATAGACATAAAAGATTTAATAAACTATTCTGTAGGGTTTTGTGATTATCTATTTGTAACCCTAGATTGTAGTTAGTTAGTACAAAGCATTAACCTTTTAGGGAGCATTCTTCATTCTTCAACTATAAATACATGTAAATCTTGTAATTCGCTATAATGAGTAGCATAATCGTTGAATATGAAATTTGGTACACTAAATGTTATCATGAGGATCTATATGGAAGGACTGATTCTATTTAGGGCTGATTTCCGATTGGATGAACAAAGACTCTTTTTTGCACCGAACCGTCTGAATGACCATTTTACCCTTTGTCTGGATTCTGGAATCTGATGGCTGTATAGATAAATAATGTCTGTCCGGATAAAGTATAATGTTTATTTTGTGCACCGAACGACCATTTTACCCTTTGTCTGAATCTAGTTTCTGATGATCTGATGTTTGCATTTATAGGTGATGATAAACATCATACGGGAGGATCATTATGTTCCATGAATTCAAACCGTTTATTTTCCATTCTTGATGTTTATAACCACCCTTGCAAACGTTCACGAATCAATGATTCATATAGCCTTTTTTCCAATAACAAAAACAATCCATCAATCGAAATCCTCCCGGATGAATGTCTTTACGAGATCTTCCGGCGGTTATCTGGCGGCAAAGGGAGGAGTGTCGCCGCCTGTGTCTCACTCCGGTGGCTTACCCTCATAAGTAACCTCAAAGCCTCAGAAATTATCGTTTCCAATAAGGTCAAAGTCAAAGTCAACAACGAGTTTTCATATGATGATGAACAAGAGAACGATGGGTATCTCACAAGGTCTTTAGAAGGAAAGAAAGCAACCGATACAAGACTTGCTGCCATTGCAGTTGGAACATCTGCCCGAGGTGGATTGGGCAAGCTTTCGGTCAGGGGAAGTGATAAAGTGACAAGTATCGGATTTTCAGCGATTGCCCGAGGCTGCCCGAATCTTAGGGTTCTTTCTTTATGGAATGTTCCCATGATTGGAGATGAATCTTTAATCGAAATCTCCAAATGCCAATTTTTAGAAAGTCTTGATCTTTGTCATTGCCCTTTAATTTCCAACATTGGTTTAATTTCAATAGCCAAGAACTGCCCAAATCTGTCTTCTTTGACCATCGAATCTTGTAAAAACATTGGAAACAAAAGCCTTCAAACCATTGCCCGGTGCTGCCCGAATCTACAATCACTCACCATCAAAGACTGCCCGAATGTTGGTGACCAAGGTGTTGCTACTCTTTTTTCATCATCATTGGTTCTTACAAAGGTAAAGCTTCAATCTTTAGATATAACGGACTTATCACTAGCGGTGATCGGGCGATACGGGAAGTCAATTACCAATCTTGCCCTCACAAACCTTCGAAACGTGAGCCAAAAAGGTTTTTGGGCGATGGGTAATGCGGGAAATCTTGAATCTTTGATGTCCTTAACGGTAATTTCGTGTTGTGGGATCACGGATTTGAGCCTTAAAGTGATTGGAAAAGGTTGTCATGTTTTGAAACATTTGGTTCTTAAAAAGTGTTGGTTTTTATCCGATAAAGGGTTGGTTTCGTTTGCCCGAGCTGCCCGGTTTCTTGAAAGCTTGCAGTTAGAAGAGTGTAATCGGGTAACCCAACAAGGGATTTTGGGTACTTTATCGAATCAAAACTCAAAGATGAAATCTTTTTCGGTTGTAAAATGTATGGGGGTTATAGATTTAGACGAAAAAGCCATCGACTTTTTCGAAAAAAATCAATCTTTACATTCTTTAACAATCAAGAATTGCATTGGGTTCGGAAACAAGAACTTGGAAATGATCGGGAAGTTATCTCCAAATTTACATAATCTTGATCTAACCGGGCTTTCCGGAATCACCGATTCCGGCCTTTTCGACTTTCTCAAAACCCGCACCGCCGGACTTAAAAAAATCAACCTTACCGATTGCATAAACTTGACCGACAAAGTGGTGGTGGATTTGGTCAAGATCCATGGCGGAACCCTAGAACTACTCAATCTTGGCGGGTGCCGGAAAATCACCGACGAAAGCATGGCGGCAATCGGAAGAAATTGCGGGCTTCTCAAAGATCTTGATGTTTCGAAGAGCGGAATCACGGATTCCGGTGTTTCTTGGCTGTGTTGTGAAGGGAATATGAGGTTGCGGGTTCTTGCTTTATCGGGTTGTATGGTTTCGAATGAAAGTATGTTGTCTTTTGAGAAAATGGGAGAGACCCTTGTTGGGTTGAACCTCCAAATGTGTAATTTAATTAGTAGGAGTGCGATTGAGTCACTTGTGGTTAATCTTTGGAGATGTGATATACTTTCTTAAGTGAACCGGTTGGGGTTATGGTCCGGTTTTTTTTGGTTATGGCTCATTTTGGGGTTGGTCAAACGTGAGATGGTTGACTTTTTGTACGGTCAAAGTCAAAGAAACAATTGGGGTTGATTTTGGTTAGGTAAAACCCCATGTTGTTTAATTGGATTTAAGTTCTTATTTCCCATTTTTTGTGTCACACTTTATATTAATTATATATTTATTTATAATACTTATTGTATTTTTCGATATTGTTATCGCAATTCGCAAAGAATTAAAGTACACATTCCAATAAATCATCAACAATTCAAATAAATAAAGACATTTAATTTTGAAGTAAAAGAATATCAACGATTCAAATAAATAAAATATATTTTTAAGTAAAAAAGAAACACGTATAGTTATAAAAGTCGTAGGACATGTCTAAAATACATTAGAATGTCATTTTTACATATTTACAATGTTAAAGAAACTAATTCCAACTTAACCTTTGTTCCAAATAATCTCTAGAACAAGTTACCACAAAGATTGATCCATTTGGGCATCTAATCCCTTTATCAACTTTTGTCCAATTCCTTGCCTTTTCACAAAGTTCTCCTAACCTTATATCAACATACCTTTGCCACTTTCCATACCCACAAACATGGAATCCCACAAATCTTTATTTTTGTGGGTTTCTATGATCGTTTTCATATTACATTCCAAAACTTTATCAGTTCGAGGGCTTGGGGTTAATTGGGGTACGCGTGCATCACATCCTTTGTCACCTAATATTGTGGTGAAGTTAATGAAGGACAATGGGTTCGATAAAGTTAAACTCTTTGAAGCCGAGCCTAGGGTTTTGGACGCGCTTAGAAATTCAGGACTTCAGGTTATGCTCGGGATTCCTAATGATTTCTTAGCTCCATTGGCTAGTGGTGTTAGGGTTGCTGAGGATTGGGTGGCAAAAAATGTATCTGCTTATGTTTCACGTGGAGTTGATATAAGGTTAGTTATATGTTAAAGTACGAAAATTTTATTTTTTATTTATTAGCGTTTAAAAGTTGGACTTGCATTGTTGTATCGAATACATCGATCAAATCAATATTTTAATGATCAACCACTTTCAGCAGTCTGTCCGTTGATTAAAAAATATTAAAATTACGGATAAATTTCTTTGACCTTTTACTTATTATTTTCTATATGATGATCAGAACACTTGTATTTTATGACTAAATGGAATTAGAAACAAATGTATAACTTTTCTATTACATTATAGAACTTTATATATGATGTTTCTTGATATTTAACTAATTACTCATATAATTACTTATTTATATGAAATCATTTTTAACTATTAAAGGTGAATAACAATAATCCAATCATAGTAGACAAGGTCGTATCTAGTTTTTGAATAACAATAAAAATTGTTTTCTATTTTGAAAATATTGTTATGATATAATAAGATGAATAAAACAAATAAAAAGAAGAGTCTAAAATAAATAAACAAATGATGAAAATAGTCGAATGGAATACATTACTATTTCTTGGATTAATCTAATAATAAGGTGATTAAATAAAAAATAAAATAAGATTCTAAAATAAAAATTGTTTCTAATTTAAAAATATTGATTTTTGATTTTTGTTAGGTATGTAGCGGTTGGGAACGAACCGTTTCTCAAGACCTACAAAAACATGTTCACAAACGCAACTCTTCCGGCTCTCCAAAACATCCAAGCCGCCTTAATAAAAGCCGGTCTAGGCAGTCAAGTCAAAATAACAGTCCCACTAAACGCTGACGTTTACGAAAGCAACTCCGGCGTCCCATCAGAAGGAAATTTCCGGTCAGACATCCACAGCCTCATGATCTCCATCGTCCAATTCCTAAGCGACAACGCAGCACCACTCACCATCAACATCTACCCTTTCCTCAGCCTCTACGCCGACCCACATTTTCCAATTGACTTTGCATTCTTCGCCGGAACAAATGCTCCGGTGGTTGATGGAACAATTTCATACACAAATGTATTTGATGCTAATTACGATACCCTTGTGTGGGCCCTTGAAAAGAACGGTTTTCCGGCGATGCCGGTGATCGTTGGAGAGATCGGGTGGCCAACTGACGGTGACCAAAATGCGAATTTAGGGTATGCACGGAAGTTTAACCAAGGGTTGATAAGCCGGATAATTCAAGGACAAGGGACACCGAAAAGGAAAACACCACCGGATGTTTACATTTTCGGGCTTATCGATGAGGATCAGAAAAGTATAGACCCTGGTAATTTTGAACGACATTGGGGGGGTTTTTAATTATGATGGCACAGTCAAGTATAGACTTGACCTAGGAAGTAATAATAGGACGCTGGTGTCAGCTAAAGGGGTCCGGTACTTATCCCGACAGTGGTGCGTTATGGCAGAAGGGGCAAGTGAATCAGACCCTAATTTAGCTGATAGTGTGAAGTATGCGTGTACTTATGCGGATTGTACGAGTTTAGGTTATGGTTCTTCGTGTAATGGTTTGGATGCGCGGGGTAATGCGTCGTATGCGTTTAATCAATATTTTCAAACGTTTAATCAGCAAAAAGGAACGTGTGATTTTCATAATTTATCTGTTGTTACGAAAATTCAGCCAACAACAGGGATGTCGGATTGTAAATATGAGATTATGATTGATCTTGGGAAGCATGAGAAGTCGCGGAATCCGGTGACGTCTGTGGCGGCATTTGGGTGGAGATTGCAAGATTTGAGCTACTCCGGTGTGGTGGTGGTTATGTTGTCGTTTATCATTAGTTGGGTTTCGTGAGGAGATTTAGTTTTGAATCTTGTACATTGTATTTCTGCTTTAAGTTTCGCGTGATTTATTTTATCAAAAGATGAATAATGATTTCTGTCGCATTTCTAATTGTTTATTGGTTTATTTTGCGTTTCACTAAATCATTCACGTCTCTTACTGCTTCAACACTGAATGGTTTCTACCAAAAAGCCCCTAAATTATATTTAATCACCAAAAATGTATTTAAATGACTGCAACCTTTTCTTACAAAAATAGATTATTATTTTAATAGTATAAATTTGCAACCAGCAACCATATAATACATTCAAATAATTGAAACATATAACTAGTTACATGGGAACATATAATTTTGTTTTAAAATTTACACACCAAATTTAAAGTTTTTTTTCCCTCGACTTAATATAAAGGAAATGGAAGATTTTGACTTAACAAGTCATAGTTCTGAGTAGAGAAGAATTCTCCATACCTTCTTTTGGTTTCCAAATAATGTGGTCCAATATGTTACAAAAGTTCATGTAAAACTGCAAGTAAAAAGTAGATGACTATAATTTTATCATATTTAACCCAATAATTATTTATAATATTATTTATTTATTTTCAGAATGGAAGAAAGATATATATGTTGCTTGCCTTGTGGTATTCAAGAGTATCTCCAACAGCTTTTCGAACATCCACCATAAAAAGAGATGCTGCAACTTCAAATACCTTAAATGAAAATACTATTAGTCATAATCAATATAATTAATTCTTTATAAAATAAGTTTCTTAAAAAACAATATTGCAAGTGTAATAAAAAATGAAATGCAAAAGTTTTAACTTTTACCTCTAAAACAACGGCAAATTGCCCCACTCGATTCATCGATTCACAGAAGCTCCTTCGAGACGTGTCTGCAAATTAATTTGTGGAATTTAAGTTATAGAAAAATATTAGGAAAAAGAAAATGAGGGAAATTTTGTATACCTTGTAGTATTAGACTAGGATTTATATTATATTAGAATGTATCAAAGTGTAACATTATAAAGTATATATATACTCTTGTAATGTATTCACGTAAGATATACAATATTGATTACAAAGTTTAACTTGGTATCAGAGCCAATTAACCCTAAACCTAATCGGCAGCCACAACCGCCGTTCTCCGTCCAGAAGTCGTCAATTGTTGTATTCTTCTGTTTTCTGTTCTCTGGTAATCACAAAACAAGATGACAACTCACACAAGTTTGTTTCAAATGTACTGGAAAACGATGATTCAGCCCTTTCTTGTAACAAACAATCTATTCGGCTATATCGATGGTACCATTCCTTGTCCCTCTTCTACCATCTCAATGGCTACATCTGGCTACATCTTCTTCTGATAAAGACAAAGAACCGACTGCTGCAACACAAGTCAACCTAGAGTTTACAATCTGGGTTTTGAATGACACTCACGTAAGGATGATAATTCTGTCCACAATCTCTGAAACTGCTTTTCAACATGCTCAAGGAAACACTTCTCGAGAATTATGGCTTGCTCTGGAACGTGCTTTTGCGCCTCATACCTCTTCAAGGGAATACACCTTGAAGACTCAACTATTGAAGATACAAATGAAACCTAATGAGTCGTCATCCGCCTATCTTACTAGGGCTCAAGAATACTTGGATGCCTTAGCCAACGTAGACGAACCCATGAAAGAAAAAGATTTGGTCATGCTCGTTCTATCTGGGTTGCGTGAAGAATAAAATGGTCTCAAGTCAACCATCCTTGCCCGTCAAGTTCCCATTCACTTCGTTGATCTTCATGCTCTACTGCTAGATCATGATTATATGATCTCAAAAACCTCCATTGAGGTTACCCCAGCGCAAGCCTTCACTGCAGCAACATCTATTCGTAAATCGGTCCCTACAACTATCTCGTCCCAGGCCTCTACAAGGCTCTACAGAGGCAGTTCAAGCCATTCAACAACTTGCTGCTCAGTTAGGTTTTCAGTTGCAACCTCAAGCACACTACACAAATAGATCTCAGAACAACCGTGATCGGGCTCAAAACAGTCGATCAGGCAACTCCAACAACAATCGTGGACGTAGGAACTACAACAATCGCACTCAAGGAAGAGGTACTCGTAATCAATTTAGTTGGGCATCTAATCAAAATAATGTTTTTGGTACATGTAACAGGTGTGGTATAGGGCATGTATTGTCTCAATGTCCAATCTGTGACCCCAATACACTCACTTGGATCGAGATAAGCACCATCTGCCAACTATGTTGATTATCGCTCACAAGATTCAAGTACATGACTTCCAGATACAGGATTGAGTCATCATGCTGCATCGAATCTTTCTAGTTTTGAAAACTCTGAAGCCTACTATGGCGAGGATAATCTTCATGTTGGCAAAGGTAAAGGTTTGCCTATCTTACATATTGGTTCTTCAAGCTTTCATTCACCCACCAAAACATTCAATCTTAAACATGTCCTACATGTCCCAACCATTCCATAAAATATCCTCTCTGTTTAACAATTTTGTCAAGATAATAATGTTTATTTTGAATTTCATTCTACCTTTTTTCTTGTGAAGGACATGTTTACACATAATATCCTCCACATGGGTCCAAGTAACGGGAGAGTGCAATCTATAGTGTCCTTCTTTGCAACTCGTGCTTCTCCAACTACATGGCATCAAAGATTGGGCCACCCTCACCCTCAACTTTTGAAGTCTATGTTTTCTAAGTTTCATTTACCTTTGACTAACAATTGTTCTAGTATTTCTTGTGATTCATGTTCTATTGGCAAGTCCTCAAAACTTCATTTATTACCATCTAATATTAAAAGCAATCATATGTTGGATCTTGTTTTTTGTGATGTTTGGGGTCCCGCTCCGGTTACATCCTTCGGTGGCCACCATTATTTTTTATTGTGTGTAGATCATTTTACTAGATTCATGTGGATATTTCCTTTACAGAAAAATCTGATGTTTACACTACCTTCAAACAATTTATTCTCACTGTTGAAAGCCAATTTGACACTAAACTTAAATCTGTTCAAACCGATTGGGGTGTGGGGGGGGGGGTTAATTCTGTAACTTTTCCTCCTTTTCCACTCTTGGCATCTTACATCGCCTTTCTTCTCCACACACAAGTGAACAAAATGGCTATGTTGAACGCCGTCACCGACACGTTGTCGCAACTGGCCTCATATTATTAGTCAAATCTAATGTTTCACGACGTTTTTGGCATTTTTCCTTTGACACCGCCACTTATCTTATTAATCGAATGCCCTCACAGACAAATTCCAATACCTCTCATTTTGAACTTGACTTTCGCCATCAACCTGATTACTTATTCCTACGAGTGTTTGGGTGTCAATGTTTTCCTCACATACACCCTTACAACAAACATAAAATGGACTTCCGCTCTACACCATGTTTGTTTCTCGGTTATAGTACCTCCCACCATGGCTATCGCTGCTTCGATCCACAAACCAACTGCATCTATATTGCACACCATGTCCGCTTCAATGAACAATTATTTCCATTTGCCATGTCTCCAAATCCTCCTGATCCTTCTCCATTCAACAAACCATATTACTCATCTTATCTAACTTCTCAACCTGTTCCAAATTTACCTAACCACCAAAATGACACACCACCTCAAACTGAACCACCACAACCATCCCCAACCATGCAATCACATGCTTCACCTCAACCTGCTCCTTTCCCTAGCCAAACATACTCCCGTCGAACAAACATACACCCTAACACTCCCTCCACTTCTTCCGCCTGTGACCAGTATACACATGCTCAACCATCTTCCACTCAATGATTTCTAGATTTGAGAAACAAGTTACAAGTGGCTTCCCAGCCTTAGCTTGCGGGGGAATATTAGACTAGGCTTTATATTATATTAGAAGGTATCAAAGTGTAACATTGTAAAGTGTATATATATATATATATATATATATATATATATATATATATATATATATATACTATTGTAATTTATTCACATAAGATATACAATATTGATTACCAAGTTTAACTTGTAGCCATGTGTTTGGACCTGGAAACCCAATAATTCTGCAATCACTTCAACTGTTGAAATTATATCTTTAGCTGCCTTGCGTGACACAAAACGAGTTTGTCTCTTTACATGATCCTTAAATAAAATAAAATAAAATAACATAAATTTACATTTGAGACAAAACAATCAACTATTTGACATGCATTGGACTGAGACAGTGACTGATGTACCTGATGTCTGTCAAATAAGGGAGATAGGTTTAGGCCTTGAGACAGGGTGATCATTTCAAATGCGTTCACTAGTAAAGGGTTGGTTTTTTTCTTCTGATTGTTTAGTCACAAATTGGTTGTCTATAATATTAGCCCTAAATTTCGGGATGTCACAAATCGTTTTATATTTTTATATGATTCAAGTCCAACACTCTTTACATAATAAGATTTAAATCACTAGTTGTTTCTACAACAACAAACCAGTTCTTGTGGATTTTGAAGATGAAAGTCAGCTCGTTTGACACTCAAAAAGTCAAACATGAACTTAATTTCATTAAGTTTGATTTGTTGTTTAAACCTTTTGACTTTAGAGTCTTGTTTTATGTGTATAGAAGTACAGATTTGGACAACAAGCACAGAAGCAAAACAATGGTGATCCCAACAATGATAACAGTGGTGCACATCAATCACATTTTGATATTTCATCAATTTCAATAGTTTTTTTCAGTATTTCTTATGGTTATTTGATATTTGATCAAAACAACGATCACAAACAAACTTCAAATTCAAATTCATATTCAAATTTCAAATGGGTCATTCGCGGCCGGAAAACAACTAAGAAACCGGCGATATAGATCTGGAATGTCCTTCACTTGTCGACCTGTTGGCAGCGATATCACCACCGCCAACAAGTTGACAAGTGAAGGACATTCCGGACCCATATCGCCGGTTTCTTCGCCGTTTTCCGGCGGCGAATGACTCATCTGAAACATGAATTTGAATTTGAAGTTTGTTTGTAATCG